CATTTTCGCGATATTTTCCAAAGTGATGACCATTAACAATCATAATCACATATTTTTTTTTATTAAGCGTGTATTCAACTTTTAGTTCTTGCTTAATAATTTTGCTATAGTTGGATGTAGATGGTTGTTCTGTCTTTAATTGTTTCGGCAGATACGGTATTAAATAATCTTCATCTGCAAAAGAAAAGAAGTAAAGATTATTGGATTGCTTCATGAAGAAGAAAATTCAAAGAAAGAACATAAAATTCAAATTGAGTTTTTCAATATATGTAAACAAAGAAATGAAAAATGACGTCTTGTGATTTTATTTGCACAAAATGTGTTCATATTTTACATGTTATTTATATTCCAAGGATTTTTCAGGGATAACACGATGATTGTGCTCAATGGGTATAGGTGCAATCACTCTGTCTCCAATTTTAATAACCTTTGCTAAACAATTTAATTTACGATGGAATCTACATGACCAATAACTGCGAATCCGGGTTGCTTGACGTTTTACAAAGGAATGACCATTTGCAATCATAATCACAAAATTTTTATTATTCCTCGTGTATTCAACTTTTAGTTCTTGGTTCAAAATATTTCTAATGTTCGCTGTTGTTTGTTGGTCTGTCGTTGAAATTTTCGGTAAATACGGTATTAAATAATCTTCATCTGCAAAAGAAAAGAAGTAAAGATTATTGAATTGTTTTATCAAGAAGAAATATTAAAAAGAGATAAAGGAAGTTCACCAAAATCAAACTCAATTGTTCATATATACAGACTAAGAAATGTTGATTTTATTTGCATCAAAATTCGTCACTACCTAATGTGTACATAGGAAATGATTGCCTTTGATGTCAATTTGAAAATAATTAACTTTGGTTGTTAAGTTACAATAGATTAACTCGTGTGTTAATTTTTATTCTTATTGAATTTTAATTTGAGGGAATTCAATTTTTTTAATTTTTTGATTTGTTTTGCTATTTTCTGACATTCGAGATATTTATTATTTTCAGGAATAACAGGATGATTGTGCTTGATTGGTTTGGATGCTCCCACTTCGTTTCCTATTTTAATAAGAGTTGCAGGACATTTAAGTTCTCCTTTGAATTTGCATCGCCAATAACTGCGATCTCCATTTTCAAGATATTTTCCAAAGTGATGACCATTGGCAATCATAATCACATATTTTTTATCCTTCGTGTATTCTACTTTCAGTTTTGGTTTCAAAAATTTTCTTTTTTTGGGTTTGGTTTCCTGGCGGTTCGTTATATTGGGATTGGTTTCTTGATCCTTCGTGATATTTTTCGGCAAATACGGTATTAAATAATCTTCATCTGAAAAAGAATAGAAGTAAAGATTATTGAATTGTTATGTAAAGAAGAAAATTAAAATGAACATAAAATTCAAATTGAGTTGTTCATATAAAAACAAATTAATAAAACTTTTTTGTCTTTGATTTTATTTGCACTAAATGTGTTCATATATTCGTATGTTATTTATATTTATGCTTTTCAGGTGTCAGGATGATTGTGTTCGATGGGATTAATTGCTATCACTTTGTCTCCTAGTTTAGTGACCTTTGCTGTACAATAAAATTTCGAATGAAATTTGCATCTCCAATAACTGCATTTTCCCCTTTCTTGATGTTTTCCAAATGGATAATCAATCTTCATCAACAAATTATTTATTTTAGTTTTCGTGTATTTAACTTTCAACGCGGTTTTTTGATGTATCACATCTTCTGGTAATGAATGTGGCAAGAAAAATGCTGATAAGAAAGTCATGCTGTTTTATGAAGGTACAAATTTGCTTCTTAAACTTCTTCTGCGCTCTAAAATAAAAACATTAAATATCGTGAGGTTTGATTGGATCAAAAGGCTTTACTTTATTAAAGCAGCCGAATTGTTTCGATGTTTTTTAATTGAACATAATTTTAAGATAAAGCAACAAATCAAAAAGAAATTTATTAGATTTTATTCAGATGAAAGGCAATGGTTGTGCTCTACGGGTTTAGTTGCTACCACTTTGTCTCCTATTTGGTAAACCTTCGCTGGACATTTTAATGGTGTTCTGAATTTGCATCCCCAATAAATTCGATTTCCATGTTCTCTAATTTTTTGAAACTCATAATCATCAATAATCATATTGAAATTTTTTTTACTGTTTTCTATGTATGTATATTTTAATTCTTGTTTCACAAGTGGTGCTTTCTTTTGACGTCTTCTTTTAACTTTCGGGAAAAGATTCGTGACTTGTTTCGAGATGTCTTCTGGTGAAAGTGGTAAGAAAAAATCGTCATCTGCAAAGGAAAGAAAAATTTAGATAAATTTATCGATAAATGAATAAATGTAAATCGCTCTATATAACGTTTTTTTTAAGGTATCGTTATATAGAGTGTACATTGTGATTCGATTTAAAAATATGAAAACAAGTATTAGGCAGTTTTCCTTAAATGTTTATTTTTAATACTACATATATATTGAGTAAATATATTTATGTAAATATATTTATGCAAATAAATTGGAATTCTGATGAAGGTCATCCGAGACCATTCTTTTTCCGAACCTATGCATATACTAAATGATTATGTTGAAAACATTTTGATGGCGTCACTTTGCTTCCTACTTTAGTGACTTTTGCTGGACAATTCAATTTATTTCTCAGTTTGCACCCCCAATAAGATCGATTTCCTTTTTCGCTGTATTTTACAAATTGGTGATCATTAATAACCATAATTAAATTATTTCTGCTACTCATCTTGTATTTTATTACTAAGTTTTCTTCATTAATTTTCTTGTGTTCGAATGTTTGATCATTCGTTGCCTTGTCGCTTGTTGAAAGTGGTAAGAAGAAATCTTCATCTGCAAAAGAAAGAAAATGTTAGAAAAATTTTTAATTCCCAAGATGAAGTTTGTTCTATTTAAAAAGGATAACAAAGAAACGTGGATTCATGTTTCCAAGTTTTATTCATTCCCAAGCATAATTCAACAAATTCTATTTACAAAAATAATTTCATCGACATCTGAATCGTCTAAATTAATTTTTTTTGTTTCAATTTCTTCATCTTGATTGCTTTAAAATACTCTCTCTGGATTTTATGATTGTGTTCGATTTTCTTAATACTGAAGAATTTGTTTGTGCCTTTACGTTGTCTTATACGAGCCTTGCATTTATTTTTACGTTTCTGACTGCAAACCCAGAAAATGTTTGTGTCCGACTTATCCGACTTCAAGAATTTTTGACCATTCACGTAAATGCATAAATTCTTATGATTGGTTTGAGAGAATTTAACATCGATTTCTGTGAAAGAAAGAAGATTTGAATTAGAATTAAATTCGTAAAAAGGTTAAAATTTAAAGTATAAATCAGCGAATGGATCTGATCTCTGCTCTGAATGAAGATGTCTTTAGTTCAATTGTGTTTATATTTTATTTATTATTCTTCAGTGAACTCTCGATAATGCAATATTGAATGGACTATCGAGAGAAAATCACATGAGTAGATATATTACTTAAGAATATACTGAATGATTATGACGAAAACATTTTGATGGCGTCACTTCGTTTCCAAATTTAGTGACTTTTGCTGGACAATTCAATTTTTTTCTGAATCTGCACACCCAATAAGTTCGATTTCTTTTCTCGCTGTTTTTTAGAAATTGGTGATCATTAATAACCATAATTAAATTATTTCTGCTATTCATCTTGTATTTGACTATTAACTTTTCTTCAGAAATTTTCTTGTGTTTGAATTTTTGGTTATTCGTTGCCTTGTCGCTTTTTGAAAGTGGTAGGAAATATTCGTCATCTGCAAAAGAGAGAAAATGTTAGTAAAAGTGAAATTGTCAAGGTGAAATTTATTGCAGTAAGAAAGATTAAAAAGAATTGTAAATTTTGTCTCCAAGTTGTTTTATTCAATTATTTTTTATTATTTTAATTTGTTCGGCTTGATTGCCTTGATATATTTCAAGAATTTTATACCATTTACAAAAATGATTAAATTCTTATGATTGAGTTTGAGAGTATAACGCCAATTTCTGTGAAAGAAAGGAGATTGCAATAAGAATTGACGATCACATGTCCAGTTAATCTTGTTTTTGGCAATGCATGCTACTCACAACAACACGAAAAAAAATCAAAATTAATAAACTGAATGAAAAGTTTAGGAAATAAAATTAAATAAAAATATTCTGTATGGCATTTCAGTCACTTTTATTTTATGAATATTATGAATAACAAACGTAGAAGATTCCATGGTGATGTTTAAAACAAAAAAACTTTTATTTTGTAACGTTATCGATTTTTTCGTGAATTTCTTTTATATATCTTTCTATCTCGTATCATCTCATGAGTGTGCATACAATTAGATGCTGCATACACTTCATTCGTCTCAAGATCTTGAATAACACGCACGGAACATTTAAAATGAACTCTTTGTGCACAAGCCCAAGTAACTTTTTGTCCCACGCAATGTCGTCGGTAAAATCTGTGGCCATCAACTAAGAGACTTATACAATTTTTCTGATTCATCGTGAACTCAACGACCATATTCCTGTCTCTTCCATCGTCATCTGAAATTATGAACAGAAACATAAAATTAGTTGGATGTCGTTTGATGTAATGAAAAATATTTAGAAAAAACGAGCAATTAACTTGACAACGGTTTTATATTTCTCTATTTTTTACATTCAACAATGTTCACTGTTCAAGGACATCTGACATGATTATGACTACATTTGTTTTTCCCTTCATAAAATTCACCAGTGCAAAGATCTTGAATAATGCGTGCTTTACAATTCTCAGTCTTTCGTTTTGCACACGCCCAAGCAGTTTTCATTCCCCATGTGCTGTTACGATGATATTTGTATCCATTGAATATGAGACAATCCTTGTTTTGCGCTGTCTTTGTAAACTCAATAGCATAACGATTAAATGTAAGTCTCATTTTGCTATCTAAAATAAGAAAGATAGAAAAAGGAATTAAACACAAAATGTTTTTAAAAGCTTTAAAAGTCATAAAACAAATTAATTCAATGAAATCGTTTGCAGTTTTTCAGATCATGGTTTCTTTATTGCCATGATTAAGTTTATGATTATGAACTCTTCGTGTTATGTAATAACGATTTGTTCGTTTATCTTGAGTTATACGAGCTTTACACTTGATTTTACGAGATTGACGACAGAGCGAGAAAATTTTTTTGTCAGTTTCCTTGTTTCGCATGAACTTTTCACCATTGAATGAAAGACACAAATTGTTCTGTTCATTTAAAGTGAATTCCACTTTGATTGCTACGAAAAAAGAAAAAATTCAGATAATAAGAGCAATGGAAAAGATCAAGAAAAGTTCAATGAAAAAATTTTGTTTGTCAATTCATCTATTGTCTTGTTTCTTTTATTATTTTTTAAGTTAAATTTTTAAGTTTTTTGCTCTTCCTCCCAACCGATGATGATTATGCACACAATTGTTCTTTCCGGCATGAATTTCATTCGTCTTAAGATTTTGAATGACTCGCGCTGTACAATTTAATGCTTTCTTCATTGCACAAGTCCAAGAAACTTTCGTTCCATATGTGCTGTTTCGTTGAAATCTGTGGCCATTGACATAAAGGAGAATTTTGTTTCTTTCATTTTTCTTAAATTCCACAACAAAAGGTCGCTTTTTCCTATTTTTAACATCTGCAAAAATATAAAGAAAACAGTTAATTAAAGTACAATAAAAATGAATTTTCTTGTCTGAATAAAACTCTCAGCGTTTCAAAACTAATTTAATTTTTTTAATTCAACTAAACGGATTTTTTTTATTTAAGGTTTTGAAATGAAAATTTCTTTTATTGTGAAAAGACTTAAAAAAGTTAAAGTTTAATCCAGTGGCCTGTCACAAGGTGGACGTGCGTAAATTTAAAGTGTATGGCAAACAACGCTTTCGATTAACTTTCATAAGAATTTCTAAGTTTTAATTTAGATTCTATGAATGGAAACGATCGAAACAAGTTGCACACAACCATGGTCCGCCTTTACAGCATGGACAGTAAGTTTCAATCTTATCAAGAACTTGTTTATAATTTTTATTCTTGCACTTTTTAATGCAATGAACGCAATATCCTCGCAATCGTTTTCGTTTCAAAAGACACAACGCATGTCCATTGTTGAACTGCTTCACGATTTGAACGTCACCAACTGGAAGCGGTTTACCATCAAAAGTTCGCACTGAAGCTGGATTTGGAGTCACAATGAAAGGCTTTGGATCTGGGAATAATAAAAGAAATGAAATAAATTAGAATTCAGAAAAAATGAATCAAAAATATTACAAAAAAGTGAGTAAGAAAATTTTTTTAGTTGCAACTTTTTATTTCAATTTATTTTTATGACAATGTGCATCGCAAATGACAACAACGTTCTTGCCGATGGTCTTTAGAGTCGCTTTACATTTTTTCTTACGATATTCGCTACATCGATATCTGACAGTGTTCTTAGCTCCTATTGATACACGACTGAAAACATTTTTCTGATAAATCAATCGACCGAATCTATCGTAACTAAGTTTCAAATCGTGATCTCCTGAAATTGCATTTATTATTTGATTAGTTCTTGTTTTACATTATTAATGATTATGTTGGCCGGTAATTGAAACCAAGAACTTTCCGTGTGTTTTCATTATCACCGGACATTTCTTATTCGATTTATACTTAAGACATTTATAAATTGTAAGAAATTCTTTTCCATTCGAAAATGTTCGGAAATAGTTTTGGTTCTTGAAGATCAAATGACCCAATCCACTAAAAGTGTAATTAGTTTTGTCACCTTCTCGAATCTCAATCGTATTTGATGTCTTCTTTGGTTGGGAAATTTTAGAACTTTCCTCTTTTTTCTGCAAACCTAGAAGAAGAAAAGAAAATTTAATTAGTTTTGATTGCATGTTTTGAAAATCTTTCTCAATTTAAAATAATTAAGTTTTTCTTTCTGATTCATTTTATTGTTAAACAATGTATTCGTCTATGAGATTATTTGGTCAAAAGATAAATTGTCATTTTCTAAAATTGATTCTTCAATTATTTCAGCAGTGGACGTTTCTTTAAGATCTTTCAAGGATCCTTTCTTTCTTCGTTCAGTGATAATTAAGTGGTTGTGTTGATCACAAACGATTTCGACTTTTTGTGATGCATCATCGTAGTTTCGATGTGTCATGTATTGTTCATTTTTATCTAATCGAGTTCGTAATCGTGCTCGACATCTGTAAACATTAAATTATCATTATTTTAAAATTTTTTCTTCGCCATTTTAAAATGTTTCACTTACCCAAGAGCTTTGAACTGCACACAACGCCAATAAACTGTCGATCCTAACACTCGATGTCGAGTAAATGGGAAACCATTTGCACAAAGTTGAAGAGATCCTTTGAAGCTTGTAATAAATTTGATTGATAGCTTTCCTTTCGAGTAAATGTTGCTTGGTGAAGTTTCGTGAATTAATTTTTCAATTTTCACTCCGCTTGCTTTCATTTCCTTAGCTAGAAGAAGATAAAAAATGTTTGTTAGTTAAATTATTTCTTGAATATTTTCATAAATTAATTTTAAAATATTTGTGATAGTTGTTTGAAATGTTTTTATTCATATTTCTATCATAAATTAATCAATTTTCATGGTCAAGAACATTCTTCATGTTGTAAATTCAGTTTTTTTTCTTTTTTGATCGAACTCCACGTTTTTTTTGTTCTTTTTTAAGGAAACCTCGTCGTCTTCTTGTAAATCTATGTGGATGATGATGAGAAACAATGTCGAGGTTTGAAGTGTATGTTTCTTCCCTTAAGTTATGAGTTACTCTGACTCTGCAACTATAATAGCGAGTATTAGGAAGTGACGTTTTCTATTATTCATTCACTCACCCAAGCGGAATTTTCTCTCGACAACCCCAAAAAACCTTCGCACCAACTTGCCTATCCTTAACAAATGGATAATTGTTATATATCAGCATCAGTTTACCATGGTCTGTGGTACCGTATCTAACTGAATTGACTTCCGATTCGACTTGAAGAAGAAAGAAAAATTAAATAAGATTAATAGCTAAGATTATTTGTAAAGGAAATTCATTAATAATTCTTAAGGAAACTTTCGCTGACAATATGAAATAATTTTCTTTTTTCTTTATTTTATTTCGGTATTGAATAAAATCTAAGAATAAAAAAGTTGAGTTGCATAAATTCTTTCAGCCTTAAAGTTTAAACTTCCAAATTATGTAACAATAATAAATTTCATCAACTTTAATTTTACTAAGGCATCCAGTCATCAATTTTATTTTTATGAGTTGAATCTTTCTCACAATATTTTGCTTTCGTTGTCAATTANAATAGAAAAATGTGTCAACAAACCTCATTGTAAAATATTTTTTGCTGATATCGGAGACACGTCTTGAAAGTTCATTCAATCCCATGCTTCGTTGGATTTGATTTCACTTAACAAAGTTTATTTTTCACTAAATAAAATGTGTTTCGCAAAGATATGATTTAATATTGATTCATTTCATTGTTGTTTGCTTCGTTTAAACAATGTTGGGCTTTGGTATTTTTTTAAAACTTTATGAAAATTTAAATCATGTCAATTGCATCAACACAATTTGATGATAATGAAATGTTTTCAAACGTTTAATGAAATTTACATTAACAAACAATAATAAATCAAAGTCAACATAGTCAACTGGGCGATTCTAAAAGTCATGTTTCAACAACATTCCCTGCAGAAATTTTAGATTTTAGTGTATAAAGCACGGTAGGATTGAAAAAGCAGAAATTGAATGAAACTTTATTCTAATCTTCAGAATTCAATCCAAAGAAGTATTAAATTCGATTCGACATCATGTTGAAACTTGATGCATGATTTCTATTTGAATCCTTCACTGTTCATATAAGGAAACGATTCAATTGCACATGTCATGATATTTGAATAAGAAATTTTCAAATGCACTGCACTCACTTACGATGAAATTGGAGAAGTTATTGTGATATTTCAATAAACTTTAGACTCATCATTATCAAGCTCAATCATATTATATCATTCCTTGTGGTGCTTTAACTAATAATTTTCATAATACAATTCAAAGTTGATGCACTCCATTTCAATAACTGCTGTGAATAAAGCATTTGAAAATGTAAATTTTATTTCTTCTCAATTTTACATCTCGTTTTCATGGTATAACATCGTTTTATCGTTCAAAGTGCAACGTTTCATTTAGCATAATGCAAATAAAATCCAATATTATGTTGTATCTAGAGCAACCGAACAATAACGAATCTCAATTTCAAGAGTAAAACATCAATTCCATAAAAGTTTTTAAAATGATAAATGTTCATTTTCTCTCGACAACCCCAAAAAACCTTCGCACCAACTTAGTACCATATCTAACTGAATTGACTTCCGATTCGACTTGAAGAAGAAAGAAAAATTAAATAAGATTAATAGCTAAGATTATTTATAAAGGAAATTCATTAATAAATTCTTAAGGAAACTTTCGCTGACAATATGAAATAATTTTCTTATTTCTTTATTTTATTTCGGTATTGAATAAAATCTAAGAATAAAAAAGTTGAGTTGCATAAATTCTTTCAGCCTTAAAGTTTAAACTTCCAAATTATGTAACAATAATAAATTTCATCAACTTTAATTTTACTAAGGCATCCAGTCATCAATTTTATTTTTATGAGTTGAATCTTTCTCACAATATTTTGCTTTCGTTGTCAATTATAGCTGCAAAAAATAATAATTGAGATTTTCAAAGCTGATAAATAATTAAAATTTACACACAGTTGGTTCTTGATGATTATGATCGTGACCATTAATTTTGAAAGTGTTTAAATCCATGTTATGATTTATTCGTACACGACATCTGAAATAAAATAAAAAATTACCAAATGTTGTAGTTTAATTAACATTCAAATTACTTCTTTCTTTTCTTCTCACGACAATTGCAATGCCAAAGAGTTGTTGAAAATCCAGCGATAGTTGTCAAATTTTCTCTCAGAAATGCATGAGATTTGTAGATGAACATCAGATATCCACGTTTTGTTGAACTTTAAGTGATGCCTCTTACTCTTAAGAAGTTTGGTAGAACTAAAAGGAAAAAATTAATTTCTGTTTTATTCCACTTTCTTTTTGTCTTAGAGAGAAACCAATGAATAAAATTTCACATCATTCACAGGACAGTTTTCTTTTATTTCAGAAATACATTTAATCAGTTTTAGTTTAGTTTTTGGAATTTCTATTTATGGAGATTTTCTGATTGCTTAGCCATTAATGCTTTGAACTCTCCAGGCTTTCTTCTTTCAGTGATTAATGGATGAGAATGTTCACTTTTCATTACTTTGAATCTAAAAAATTTAAAGTTTAAAGAATCATTACTTGTAACTTAATGAAGAGGACTAACCGATTAACATCTACAATTTGCACAATTCCAGCTTTGCAGTTCAAAGGTTTTTGATGAACACATCGCCAGTAATGTCGATTGTAAGACGAACTTTTTTTCGTAAAAGGAAATCCTTGATAGATCAAATACATTCCACCTTTTTGGTTTAAACTAAAAGTAATCCCATCGCTTTCAATGTCGAATTTTATCTTCTTGGCATCTGTGAATTAGAAAACATAAAAAATTAGAATGAATTTGAATTGAAAGATTTTCTATAAAATAATTTAAATTACTTGAACAATTCAAATTTAGTAAAAGTTAATTTTATTCTAATAAATTACGATCTAATTTTCTAAACAAACATTTAAGTATCTTTCGGCCTTAAGCTTTTTAATAATACGACTCGTCTGACTATGGTTATGAATCGGTTGTGTAATGTTAATTCTAAAAAGTCCATTCGGTTTTTGTGTTGTCGTGATTCTTGCGCGACAAGGCTTTTCACCTCTGGTTTTAGTTCGACAACACCAATAAATTGAATCTTGTGTCTTATTATTTTGTGCGTAAAGAAAACCATTATGTGACAACAAAGGTCTGCCACGTTGTCCACGCACAAGATTAAGTTTTTGATCTTCCAAGATTTCTGTCTTTATCGATCTCAAAGTTTTCCCATCAGATTTGATATTAAAACCTAGAAAAGGAAAAAAAAG